GGGGGGGGGGGGGGGGGGGGGGGGGGTTGGATGTGTGGCGCTGTCGAGGGGTCAGCTGAGAGGCGGATTTGGTTGTGCGCGATATCCATCTCAGCGCCCTGCCTACCGGGTTCTGAGGAGAGTAGGGTGACAGGTGCACTTCGGAAGGCACGCTTTCGTCGTCCAGGGGTGTAGGTAGTCAAGAAGCGCCGTGATGCAGAGTGGATCGCGCCTTGTCTTGCAGCCTGCAAGACACGCTGCACGCACCAGGCTCTCATCCATACGTGCGGCGTTTTGTCCAGGAGCGGCAGGCGCGAGCGCAGAGATACAGGCTGTAGCGGGTTGTAGCTGGTGTGCTCGTGACCACTGATGACCAATGCAAGCCCGTCCGGTAGTAGGGTGAACGATGCTCGTAGATTCGCATGCATTGGGAACGTCGGCCGTCTGGCAGAGGGGAACCTCAAGCAGACCAGGCTGATCGACTGGTGAAGGACTGCTCACCAGGATTCTGTCGCTTGTTGCTCCCTGTGTGGATTCGCATCTTGTAGAATATTATCGCTCTGTATGGGTAATGCCGAAGCTCGGACCGATCTACACGCATCAGGCAGGTACACACAGCGCAGCTTGTTTTGAATGCAGTTGTCGTTGCGGACCTCGCTCCAAACATGCTTCGTTGCATGCATTTGATCGCTCGCAGTTCGGAACAGCGTCTCGAAGAGCCATGCTCGGTGAAGGATCCCCGTGATCCGTGGCGCATGGCTCTCTCTCTCGCTCATTTGCACGTCGTACTGCCCAGGATCGAGCCGGGTATGCGGTCGAGCACATAGTCATTCCCACTTGGTACAGCCGATCTGGGAGCTACAACAAGCTCAAAGGCAAGTGAGAACAGCACAGCGCATCAGGTTTGATTCAAGGCCCGCACATCAGCGCGACAGGATTTCTCTACAACGTGCATTCCAGTCGCTGACAGTTTGTACTTTCTTCCTGCACAAGCGGCTGCCTTGGCAGGTGGGCGTGTGGGTCGTCTCAGTGCACGAGGCTCTCAAGGCACGCACTCGTCGTTCACATCAGCGCATCCGGCTTTCATTGCCGCTCACAGTCTGAGCTCGCGCCTTGCAGACGTTTGCGCTGCCGAGTGTCGTGGCAGTCCAGTTTGTGACGCGTCAAGCTTAGAACGCAAAGATATCGTCGGCTCGAATTGCGACAGGCTGCGAACATTCTCTTGAAGCTCTCGCGAGTCAATCCTGAGGCAGAATCGGGAGGATCGTCAAGAGTCGGGTCTCGTGTCAACGTCGCGTGAAGCGCACAGAGTGGCTATGATCGCTTCCCTTCGGCGCCTTTTGCGACCAGCTGCGGTACCCTCAGCAACCACTGCAGGAGAGAAAGCCTGCGCGTCATCTTGGCCCTGCGAGCGGCTGCCACTTGCGGATCGTGTTCGGTCAAAAGTGTTCGCACTGGCAGCGTGGCCTTGCATCACTGGTGTCTCCTCTTGGGCGAGGCGAGCCCAGCCCGTCAAACAGCGCCAAGTGGAGAAGGAATTACGTCAGCACGCCAAATGCAGCGCCCCAACAGGGTCCATCCTCGGCGGCTCTTGAGGTGCAGAATTGCAAGGCATGTTTGTGTGCACTAGATCCTTGCATCTCACCTCCACCACTTGGTCTTTGGGAGCACAACGGGACGCTCGCTCACCGGCTGCACAGCGCACTTGCCATGTCACACTTTCGACCGCAGGCGCGAGGCTGGACGTCCTTTCTGCGGCGGCCGCTGATGGTGCGCGCCGCGCGCACGTCGGCCGTGACGCTGCAGGTGGTATGCACGATCCACCTGATCAACGAGCACGTGTTCGAGATCCGCAACTCGACGGGCGCATCGATGCTACCCACACTTGCGATGGAGGGCGACTTCCTCCTTCAGCTCCGCCTCCCCTTGTCGTCGTTCCTCACCTCGCTTACCTCCGCCTTCACCGCCAGCTCAGACGATACGGTTAGACATCCATACCACGGCAAGGAAAGGATAGGAGGGTCGATGTTTTCCAAGCAGGACCAGGCGCAGGGGACAGGGTTGAGGGTGGGCGATTTGGTGGTGGCGCTGTCGCCGTTTGATCCGACCAGGACGGTGTGCAAGCGGGTCATTGGGTTGCCGGGTGATACGGTGTGTTTGGACCCGAGGATGCGGCCGCTACCGATGCATGCCTGGCGCGGCCGTGGGCCGCACAAACCACAGCCAAAGGATCAAGGGCTGGGTGGGAAACTCGTACGCTTCCAAGACATCATTTCGGGCGGCGACTCTTCGCCCACCACGACGAGCGCAGAGACAGAAAAAGAGTTGGGAAGCAAGATGGTGAAATACGAGGAGCTCCTTTCGAGCCTCGGCGTGCCGACGCAACCGCCTCGGGGCGAGGTGGATGTGTTTGCAAGTATGGACACCGACGCCGCGCAGACCGAGGAGGCCACGGCGGCGCACAATACGGCGGCGCTGGAGGATCTGGAGCATTCGTACGTGCGCGCGCGCGGCGACGTGCAGTACGTCACCGTACCCCTCGGACACGTGTGGCTGGCGGGAGACAATCTGGCCAACTCGACGGATAGCAGGCACTACGGTCCCGTACCGCTCGGCATGGTGCGCGGCAAAGTCGTAGCGCGCGTCTACCCCAACCCGCGCTGGCTCGGCAACAATCTCAGCCCCATAGACTAGGAGCCCAATGCGAAACCAACCTTTGCGAGGGAATGCGGTGCGAACTGAAGTGTGGGTATCGAGGTATGCAGTCTAGTGTACAAAGGAAAGAGCGGGGTTAGGACCAGCCACATGATCGGCGGATGGAGGCGGACCACGAGTGACGCTGCCAGTCGAGGATGATGGGCACCATGTCCGCAATGCCGAATTGGGGCCAGAACTTGTCGACGAAATGGAGGTGGGTGTGCTGGGTGCATTGCCAGAGCATAAAGTCGCTCAGCCTCGACACGCCCGATGTGCGCACGAGGATGTCGAGCGGAGGCGAATGTGCCAGCTGCATCCCCTCGCCCAGCTCCTCGGGCGACACGTGCATATCCACCTCGTCCAGCACCTTGTCCAGCTGCAATTCCTCCTCCGGGGCCTGGTGTGACCTTTGGGCCACGGCGACTTTTTCGAGCGCACGCAGTTTGCGGTCGAGCACATTGCGTGCTGCACCCGTGATCTCGTCTCTGCTTGCATAGGGCATGCAGATGTTGAGCGTCGCCTTGGTGTTGTTGCGCGTCATATCCTCCACCTTCTCCACTGCCTCGCGTACGTCGTCGGGCAGAAGCGCCTTGCGGCCTGCAATGCGGACGCGCACCGAGTAGCGTGCGATCAGCTCGCCGTGGCCCGCCAGCTCGATCAGGCGCGTCTTGGCGATCTGCATGAGCGCATTCACCTCGCTCTCGCTGCGCTTGAAATTGTCGATGGCGAAGGCATAGACAGTGACTGTGTCGAGCCCGCGCAGGTTGAGACACACCTCGAGCACCGACTTGAGCGTGGCGAAGCCGGTCAGGTGACCCTGCTGGATGGTGTGTTGGGACGTGCGTGCCCAGCGACGGTTGCCGTCCATGACGAATGCAATGTGGCGCGGAATGGGGCCGAGCGAGAGCGTGTGCAGCAGCAGCTGCTGCGGCGTGGGGATGGGAAGCAGCGACAGGAGCGAGAGCGGCGAAAGCGCCGCCTGCTTGAGCATCTCGGTCTTGGAGGGTGCAGCGGTGCGCGTGGCAGACGCCGAGGTGGCAGTGGAGGAGGCCTGGACGTCGACGGACATCGTGGATATGATGCGTGCACACCGCGATGTCCTCGAGATCGTCGTACAGTGCTTGGTCGGTGGTGGTGGAAGCGCACAGAGAGGACAGAGTGGACAGAGAGGACAGAGAGCGCCAGGCTCGAAGGCCCCGCAGCGGTGAATCTTCTCAAGCTTGGCTTCCGACTTCCGACACTCGCAAACTCAAATTTCGACGCTCCACACCTCGAATTCAAAAAAATCGTATCGGGGTGGGATCGGCGGCAAGGGCTTTGGGGAGGAACATGGCGCGGTCGAGCCACCGCTGCCCGAGCCATCGGCATCCTCATCATCATCGTCGCCTTGCTCCACGCCCACCATCGTCCCCCTTTCATCACGCGAGCGCGTTCGCACACCACCATGGACACGGACCCTTTCGCGGTGTGGGACGACCCCCAGCCCGCATCATCGTCGTCATCCATACAGCCAACGGCCGACGCACCAGGCGCTGCACGCGCTGCAGACGACGCACGCATCTCGCTCGAGTTGGAGGAGGAGGATCCGGGATGGGGTGTCGCCTCGGCCTCGACTTCGAGGGCGAACAGTCCCGAAAAGTCGCGCAAACCCGCAACCCAACGATCGAGGTCGCAGGCGAGCGTCTCTCCACTCGTGACCGCAGTGCCGGTTACGGCATCGGAGGTGCCGACGCTCGTAGAGGCCGCACAGCCATCGAATCAAGCAAACTCAGCAGAGGAGCAAAATTACCAACAAGCATTGACGGCAGAAGATGCAGAAGTAGCCTCGAGCGCCAAGTCACACGAGAGCGGAGAAGACAAGGATGTGTTCGAGGATACAGAGGACACCCTGGATACACCACAAGACCCACACCCGGCGCAATCACCGCAACCAGCGCAGACAGAGCCGGTCGAGGAGCCCATCGAGGTCGAGGACTCGGCTGAAGCGCAGATCACTGCAGACGAGGCTGGAGGCGAGGAGAAGGGAGATGAGGACGACGACGGATTCGACGATTTCGGCGAACTTGCGGGATCAGGAGGTGGAGCAGCGGAGCACGACGATTTCGGCGACTTTGACGATTTTGAAACGGGCGACGCACCCGGTGACGACGGTTTCGGCGACGATGATTTCGAGAATCAAGACTTTGACGAAGCGGCAGACACCTCTGCCCCATCAGTCTCGACGAGCGCACCCTTGCCGTTGCAGGCTGCTGCGCCGACGCGCACATGGACCCCACTCGACGTCACGCCTACATCGAATCGGCTCGATCTCGCCTCGGCCGTATCTGCCTTGCTGCCGCTCTCGTCCGCTGCGGAGAAGGAGCTGACCAACACGGCTTTGCGGCAGGTGGAAGGTGCGGCGCAGGTGCTGGTGAGCGGCGGCTCGCGCGAGATGTGGACAGAGCTGTCATCGGTACCCTCGGTCAAGCCGATCGACTGGGTGCGCAGCAAGACTCGACGCGACTACCTCATCTCGATGGGTGTGCCCGTGAATCTGGACGAGATCCACTCTTCATTCGACTCGCAATCGGGACGGTCAGGGCAGCTTCCGCCACTGCAGCTCAAGTATGACTCGGGGCGTAGCGGCGAAGGATTGCAGAGGAGTTCAAGTCTCAAGCTGGCGGGCACGGCGGCTGGATCGGCTGTGGCGCAACGCTCGGCATCTACCTCGAACAGTCCACGCGATGGCAGCTCGCCGGCTCTGGGTACGAGCACGAATCGAGAACGTATGGCTGAGCGACGTCGCGAGGAATTGGGATTGGGTCCAGCGCCGCAGGTAGATCTGCGTCGTGCAGAGGAGCTGGTGAAGAAGACCGAAGATCAACTTACGCTCTTGTCGTTGCCGGCACTGCAGGCGATGGTGCGCGAACTCAACACGCTCACCACATCCACCTCGAGCCTGCTCACCCACCACCTTACGTTGCGCGAGAGCTTCCAGGCGGACTCGGAGATGTACAACGCCATGATCAAGGAGCTCGTCACCGGCGCCGCCACGCGCTTTAGCGGTGCAGGTGCAGGCACAGGCTCGGGCGGCAGGGGCGATATGAGGAGATCCACCACCATGGGTGTAGCTTCGTCCGGCGTGGCAAAGACCAGGGTCAACAGTTTGCCCCCGCCCGGTGCGAATGGAAGGTCAAGTCCCTCGCTCTCGCTCAGAGGCGGTGCGGCGTCAGCTGCCAGCCCGAGACGCTAAGGTTGAGAGGTGCACACCAAAAATCAAAGCTCTTCACTTGGCTCTACTGTAGCCAGCCATGTGTGAGTTGTGGGGATGCATATGTGGTGTGGAGCCGCGTTTGGCAGGCGTGAACCAATGGATGGACCAACAAGACAGCATGTCCACAACCGCGGGTCGGGGCTCGGGCTCAACCGACGGGAAAGCTAGGCGGCAGCGAGCGAGCGAGGATGCACGCAAAGCACGCAGAGCCTTGGCAGGGGGAGGGAAACAAGTGTTTTGTTTTGACAGCTCGTCGTGTTTGGGTGCGAGGCATGAAATTTCGGCGTGGAAAATTGCTTCCAACGAAGAAAATCAATTCGTCCAACCCCGCATGTTTCACACGAAAACCCTTTTTCTCTCTTTCTCTCTCTCCGTACCCCTTTTTTCTTTTAGAGGCGGTTAGGTGTGATGCGCTGTCATTTTGGTATCACTGCCTAAAATAAAATCAACGCGGCTTTCTCCTTGCCGCGTGTTTACAGCCAGTCGCTGGCAAAATCCACACCGCACATGCTCCCATCCCTCGGGCCGTCCAATCGCAAAACCCCGCTAACTGCCAGCCACTTGGAGTGTCAGCAGACAGGCCCGTATTGGCGAGGCAGCGGAGACGGTGTGACCCGCAGGTGGACGATCGTGCGGCGTGCCAATCTCCAACTCCGACCCGAAATTCCCCTCCTCCCCCCCTCCCATCCCTACGATGATCCTCTGCGCTGTCTGTGTTGTTGTGCGCACGCAGGGCTTCCCCGCCCGGTGGATGGCAGCAGCTCGGCTAGGCTCGCTTCCAGCCTTGCAGGCGGTCGACTGCTGGCTGCCCCTTGCCTCCTCACTGAGTTGCGTCCTCCCTGAGTTGCTTCCTCCTCTGAGTGTCTCTGAATGGATGGCGTGTTTGGCCCCGCGACCCCTGTTCTCTCCATCCTACCTCCATCCATCCCTCCCCCGTCCACGCGGAAAGTCTGAAATATACCCCTGTCGGCCCGTGGACACTCCCCTACTCTATACCTTTCCTTCATCTAAGATCTCAGTTTAGAGCGCAATGCCTACCGCCACTCGACCAAAACCAACGGCGCCCTCGGCGAAGCGCAGACCGTCGGGCGCGGCTAGGAGCGAATCTGGATACTCGCGTCGATCGTCGCTGGGATCGTTCAAGACGGCGGCGGGCGCGTCGGACTACAACCCCGCCATCTCGGCGTCCGAGCAAGACGAGGACGAGGACGAGGACGAAGACGAGCTGGCGTCGGACGAAGATGCGACCATGATTCGCAAGCACCACGCCCCACGCCACCTCGAGGACGACGACGAGACCGAGACCGTGTCGCACCACGAGGCGACGCCCAAGGGACTCGTGGCGCCGGGTGCCGAAGATTCCTCGAGCGTCGAGTCGCAAGAGTCGCCGGCCATCTTCAACCACAATACCACCAGCGATACCGAGACGATCAACAAGTCGCCGCCCACCTCGCACGACGATGCCGTCGACCAGCGCAGTCCACTCGACAAATCCAAGGCAGCCAGACAGCTGCTCACCCCCGACACGGCGCTGACGCCCAAGGGTAAAGATCGCAAGAATGTGCGTGCGAGCCATGCGAGCCATCTTACGCTGCCCTACCAGCGATCCGAGGCGGGCGATATGGATGCCTCCAGGAGACTCAGCAAGATGACTATGCAAAGTTATGGAAGAAGAGCCCCCTCGCGCGCAGAGAGCTTTGTCGATGACATGCCCGACATGAGCATGCGCGATGCGCGATACCGCTCGGTCTCCGAACGCGGCGGCGGTTCGAGGGCGAGCAGGCTAGCGCCACCGGCATCGGTGCTCGAGTTTGGAGGAGCATCGGCGCGATCGTCGTTCCAGTCGCAGCGTGGACCGGGTTCGCGATATGCGAGCAGCTACATTGAACCGCACTCGCTGCGCTCGCCCTCGAAGCGCGACTTCGGCTCGCCCGCAGGCATCCACCACCGCGATTCGGACCGGCTCAGCATCAGCTCACGCCGCACCGCAAGGAAGCCGGCATCGGTGGTGTCCAAGATGCTCGACGCCGACACGCAGGTGTACCCGGGCACGCGCATCCGCAAGTACATCGAACCGCAGCTCAACGAGGCCATGCGCCGCGTCATGAAGCAGTTCGCCGGGCACGGCCTCCACGACCACCGATGCAACGGTTATCCCATCGCCGTCTTTGTCGGCGCTACCGCCATCGATACCGGCAGCATCATTCAGCCCCACGTCTCGGGCGCAGTGTCGATGTACTTTGGCCCAGGACATCCCAAGAACATGGCAACGCTGCTTCCCGGCGAGGATAGAGTGCCCAGCCACATCCCGAACCCCAAGGCGCCCACGCCCGCATCGCTGTCGCGACGCGCCGAGTTGCGCTCGGCCATCACGGCGCTGCATACGATCTATGAGATGTACCGCGGACGCGCGTGCGCCCACGTATGCATCGACTCGGCGTACGTCGCCAAGGCGTGGGGGACCTGGATCCCCACCTGGGAACTGCGCGGCTGGCCGGGCGAAGACGACCAGGAGGCCGGCGATGAGGAGAGGTGGGAGGAGGAGTACTACGAGCGCAGGAGGAACCAGCGCAGGGTGTACGACCGCTATGGCGCCAGGTACGAAGATCGCAGGGATGGCTATGCCAGCGATGGTGGAAGGTTCCGTCGTGATGCGCCGCGACGAAAATATGACGACGACTGGCTCGCCAGCGATCCGTATGCCGACCGCGACCGCAGCAGGAGGCGTGGCGGTGGACAGCGAAGGTCAAGGGGCGCATACGACTACTCGTCCGACGAAGACGAGTACGACCGCAGGGACAGGAGAAGGTACGACGAGCGCGATGATCGACGCAGGAGACCCATGCGCCGCGCGCCCGGCCGTCGTCTGGTCGACGAGGACCTCCTGCGCGAGCTCGCCGATATCCGGTACGAGTTTGCGCGTGCCGAGCGCGGCCGCCACGGCTCGGCGCATCTGTACCTCATCGATCGCAGCAACAACCCCGCCGACCGTATGGCGCGCGCGGTAGCCAAGTCGGACGGCAACTTGCTCCGTCAGGAGCTCGAGGCGCTGCACGTGGACGATGCGGCGTTTTCGGACGACGAGCTGCTCGACCCCGAGGAGGAGGAGTGGGAAGAGACGAGGAGCCGCTTTTCCAGCACGTCCAACACCAAGGGCCGCATGAGCAGCCGCAACAGCTCCAGGGGCAGCATCATCTCCAACGCCACGGGCAGGCTGCGCCCCAGTGCCTCCATGCCCTCCGGCCGGCTCAGGGAGGGCGCAAGAAGACAGCTCGATACATTTGCAGAGGAGGATGAGGACGAGATCGACGATGCGCGTTCGGTGCGCTCGGCGAGATCTGCCAAGTCGGCCAAGTCGGCGAGGTCCAAGAAGTCGACGCGCGCCGAGCGTGAGCGCGACGAATACCTGGCGAGGCAGGAGAGGATGGATGCCGAAGCGCTGGCAACCCAGCGTCGGTCGGTGGCGGGCAAACGATCCGCGTCGCGTGCGAGCCATCTTGCGCCGCCTGCTTCCGAGCGCGGGGGTGGGTCGCGACGCTCGATGGATTCCAGGGCCGGCCGAATGTCGACCGACATGCTCTCGCCCGAGGCGGCGTCGAGGCGCGGCTCGATGGACACGCGTCGTGTGTCGGCGGTGCGATCGCAGCCCGACATCCGCGGCAGTGGGCGTGCGTCGGTTCGCGGAGCCTTGGCGTCGGCAGCCGTGCGTGAAGACGACGTTCACGAAGAGTACTACCGACCGTCAATGCAGGTGCATAGGGATGTATCCGGTGGGCCGAGGCATCCGAGCCACATGGAGTATCCCGAGATGGACGACCTTGTGCCACCCGCGCGCGCGTGGGATGGCGCCTCAATGCGCTCGCGCTCCAGCGTAGACTCGCGCAGAGGCGGACTGTTCGCGCGCAAGCACGACTCGCCCAAGTCGGAACGCAAGTTCGGCATGTTCTCCAACAGGTCCACACCCTCGCTGCGTGCTGCGGCACCCGAGGATCCCGACTACGAGTGGAAGGCCAAGCGCAAGGGCGGCAGGAAGCAGAGAGACTGGAACGCCACCACCGCCGACGACTACGCACAGAGGTCGCAGTGGGATGCAGATGCAGAAGAGCGAGGAAAGAAGCCTGGCTTCTTTGGCAGGATGTTTGGACGCAAGTAAGCAGCACGTAATGCTTTGTACAGGAACTGATCTGGTTGCATGTCAGAGAAATGGACTGTGGTCGCGCGAGTGATGAGAAGAGTGAGGGACGAGGAAGTGGGATGAGCAGATCAGCTGTGCGCAAGGGGCGGTGTGGTACAACGCCCTGCAGTCAAGGTGCCGCGGCGACAAGCATCGGCATCTGAGACCTCGATCTCGACGAGCTTCATCCTCGAGTGGAGCTTCTGGAGTCGGACACACACGAAGACGCGCGCAGTCCATGGTGTTGGAAAGGGCGTAGAGGCGAGCGCAATTTCTCAACCTCTCTGGCATCCTTGTCTTCTTCCCTGCCTACCTCAGGCTTTCTGCTTTTGCTGCGCTGCGGCTGCACTTGAACCGGCGGCATTGGTTCGCGCAGCGCTTTCGACACGCGGACCAACGCCACGGCGTTCACGTTCGCCTCATTTGGGCATCCGGCAACCGCACTGACCTCACACTTTGAGTCCGAGGCAGACATGATTTCATAGAACCGATCTATCGACTCTGCGATCGGGCAATTGCTGATGACCTTGTGAGCGGCCCTGTCCGGAGCGATGCCGCAACGCCAAGCGACGTGCTTAACAATCTGCAGCATGGAATCCCATCCGCACTGTCATGATGTTGGCAACGGCCAGGATGCTGTTACAAGGCGAAAGGCGGCACATGCAGACATGCGATCGAAATGCGGAATGAGATACGACAATCGTGTTCGGCGACTGTGCGAGTGAGAGCGAAGCTGACCGAGGAGGTGAAGGAGACATGAGCAGCAGGGTACGTGTGTCGCTAACCTTCCAGCGCAGTGCGGCGCCGATCGAGTGACTCCAAGGCCAGCTGCTGGCGTACATGGAGGCACCGCGCCGAACAGATTGGTAAATCCTCCAACATCTCCTTGGGCGACGAACCCTCCTGCGAAGCCAGAACTCTCACAACGCACCGGTTGTACACCAAGCACTAATCATTGACGGATGCAAAAGCGCCCATCTACAGTATCTTGCGTGCAATAGAGTAAGCTAACCGGCGATGCCGAGGGTGAAGATGCGAAAGTCGTCAGCGCCGCGCCAGTCGAATGCGACGACGGTAGCATCGCCGGTCCCGTCCGGCACAAGCGCATGTGGGGCAGCGGGCGCGACTTCGTGTGCACCACAGCTGCGTGCGTCCAAATCCGCAGGAGGCAGCGTGAGCAATGGCCCGCACAGGTACTCCAGCTCTTGACCCAGGCTATCCGCGCGGACCGACGTCCCTGCCCCAGGGTAGCTGCCATCCTCCGGAGAGACACTCGAGTGGCCGCTTTCGCTCTCGAGGTATGCTCGAGAATATGCAACGTCAGACACGGGAGCTAGCTCGAGTTCGGTACGCGCCGACATACGGAATCCTACGGAAACGGGAAGCTTGAATGATACCTTGCGCGATTCGATCCGGCTCGCAAGGAATGCTACACACGTCACACCCACGTGCAATACAAGCTGCTCGTCGCGTCTCCCGCCCTGCGAACCAGCTGGACGGTCGAAGAAGCTCGGTTCCAAGCCTGCTGGCTTGAGATGGTTCAGCGGCATCGCCCCGGTCGAGCTGGCGCGCTCGACGCCCAGCACGCGCGCCCAGCCCGACACAGCATTGGGCGTGTTGGACCACTGCATCACCGCCAGCGGCACACTCGACTCGGCCGCCACAAGCGGCAGCGCCAACACGTGCGTAAAGTTGGCCTTGGACGCGATTGCCATCTTGGCCGACACGAGCTCGGCACTCGGACCGGACTGAGAGCGCTTCGGCTGCTGCGCACGCCGGCTTCGGCGCTGAATAGGTCCCGGATCAGTAAGTTGGTACTTCTTGCCAATTTGGTGCCGAAAGTCATCATCGGACGAGTCGGAGCCACTGCCGCTGCTGTCGGCCGTCTGGATCGCATCGTGGTACTGCGCGTTCTGATCAGAGAGATGGACGCGCGAGAAGCGTTTTTCGAACGAAGCATTCTGGTTCACGGGCGCGAGTGGAAGCGCCTTGTTCATGTCAGCATGGCCCAAGCTCGAGGTGCTCCAGGTGGGCTTTCTGAGAGAAATGCCCGTGGGAGATAGCCTCGATGCCGACTCTTGGTGGTAAGGGCCTGAGGGCGTGGGGTTTTCGATGTCGGCCTCCTGTCGAACGAGGATGCGCGCTTCGATGGTGGAAAATCCGATCCAGTGATGCTTGTTCGAACGCTTGTCCAGGATCGCTTCGCGGATCCTCTGCTCCACCGAGCCCTGGCGGGTGTGGCCGATGCTGCTGGGAGCTTGACCGTCTGCGCGCGTGGAGCCTTCACCGGGAACGTGGAGCAGTCTCGCACCATCAGCATTGACTTGCGTCTCAGGCCGTGGAAGCTGCAGAGAAAGCTGCGGTGGCGATAGCCCGTCAGAGCCGTCGGCTGCCGCTGTGAGCTGCGCGAGAGGCGTGAGGTCGAAGTCGCGCACCTCGGAATCTCGCAGCCGAATCAGAGCGGCGCGGCGGCCGAAACTGAGCAGCAAGCACAGATCGGCCTTGCGCCAGGAAGCGGGAGCTGCGCTACCTCTTGGTACTCTTGCCGGCCCCACGCCCTGAGCCCCCGGCGCAGCGCCGGTGGAGTAGCTCGGTTCTCGCTGCGGCCCTTTCTTGGATGTAAGCAGAGGCCCGTGAGGAGATGCGACCCGGAGTTTGGTCGGGCCTTTGCCTGGCAGGAGAGCACCCGGGGCCGTGGGACTGAGCGGATCGTCGGAGACTGCGGCGGGGGCAAAAGCCACAGCTTTGATTGGGAACGGCGCATAAAGCTCCTTGACGAACGACCATGCCCTCGACGTGCCAGTGGTGGGCAAGGGAGCTTCGTACACCATGACGCTCCTGGCGTAGGTGATGGCCAAGTACCATGTGCCGGCTCCTTTGGTGTCGGCGGATGCTTCGTGGACGGAGAAGAACAAGGCTCCCTGCGAGCTTGTGTCGCGTTCTTTGGCTTTGTGTCCAGCCTGTCGGCCGAGGGATGAGGCGGTGTCTGCGAAGCTGGAGCTTGAAGCATTGGAGCTGGGTGAGACCGAGGCGGAGTGCGAGGGCTGCTGGATGGGCACTGAGCCCATGGCCAAGGAAAGAGCAGCTGCGTGTGCTGCGTCTGCCTGGCGGCTTTCGGCGGGAGATAGCGGTGGGCGACCATGCCGAATGGGACCAGCGCTTGCCTGGCGGTCAGTGTAGGAGGCTTGCTGCTGGTGCGCGTCGAGCGACGACCTTGTCGAGGAGGAGCCCGACATCCTGTCACGTGCAGGATCAGCGTGGACGTTTGGCAAAGGCATTGGATCGATGGCATCTCCAAACGATGCACTGGAACCAGCGCGACTGTGTTGGCTGGACTTGGCGATGTTGCGCACCTTTTGCCTGGTAAAGGTCTTTTTGAGAATGGTGCCGAGACCGTCTCGTTTGGGGGGTATGCTTTCGGCTGGTGTGTCGAGGTGGATGGGAGTGTTGGCATGAGGTGTGTCCAGGGCGTAGATGAGAAGCTGTCTGATGGCCTGGAGGTGCCACATGCGGACAAGCCCTGTGCCTGCCGGGGGCACGGCGCGGCCCGGACCTCCGCCGGTGGCTGGACCGAAGTTGGCGGCGGCGATGCTCTCGTCGCCGACGGGCAAGGCGTGTGCGGAGTGGGAGGAGCTGGACGAGGTGGATGGGGTGACACCGGCAGCGGCGACGCTTTCGAGAACGGAGCCAGCGTGTGCGCTGAGTTGCATCAGAGACGAGGAGAGGAAGCCGTCCTTGGCCGAGGATGGACAGGTGAGTGCGAGCAGGACGCCTGAAGGTGGAGTGAGAGGACGCGGATTGGCGTTTCGTGTGGTGGCGCGGCGATCGTCGGAGGCCAAGAGACACATCTGGTAGACGGCCAAACCGGACCAGATGTGAGTGCAGCGGATGGCGTCGTTGGCTGTTTGCGTGGAAGGGGATTGGGATGGGTGAAATTCGACTGCAAAGAGGCCGAGGTGAGTGCCGAGGAGAAGCACTTGGCGGGGTGAAGAGTGGCTCGGGGATGGCAAGCTGATGAGGATGGAGCACAGCGGTTGCGCTGGCAAGTGCGGGATGAAGCGGGAGCCAAAGTGGTGGAGATGGAGAGGAGGAGCGTGCGTGGCATGGCCTGAGGCTTGAGGTTGGGTTGTGCTGTGCGAGGAGGCTTCATCGTTGATGGCGTCTGGTCCGTCGACCCAAGCGCCCCAGCTCTTCTTCCTGCGGTTTGGGAGCTCGTCGCTGATTCTTTGTGCATGGCTGTGCGGAGTGAGTTGTTGATCGACGTCGGCGTAGTGACGCTCGAGCGCACGCTTTTCGAGCCAGGTGCCCCATCGAGGAAAGCGGGAGCCGAAAGCTCGAGGTGGTGAAGGGACGTTTGCAACAGCTGGGTCGGTCGACGCGCGAGAATCTGCAGGGCTGTGAGGATTGAGCTGGAAGTAGTCGTGGGAGGCGTGATGTGTGGCTATTGCGGGCGGAGTTGGTGGGAACTGATGCGAGTCGTATCGAGGGGGCAGCTCGTGGCTGGAGGCTGCTAGCGGTTGGGGCGGGAGCAGCGGAGAGTCGAGTTGGTCGTCCGACCGGGATTGTGGGTTGTTCATGGGCGATGGAGCCGATCGACGAGGCTGTGCGTCGGTGCGACGATGCGCTACGACAGACGTGCGTGTTGGCGAGTGGAGAGCATTTGTGTGTACAGCCGCGGTGCGAATGGGATGGTGGTGGTGATGATGAGCAGGAAGGCCAGCAGCGGGGGTCCGAGAGAGGGAGAGAGAGGGAGAGGAGAAGGGTGTCCGTGCGTTTGAAAGCGCTGCCCTGCATTTCACACCAAAAAATCCACGCCTCGGAATTCTCAGCACAAAGGGCGGGCGGCGAAAGAGTGACACTTTGGCGCTCCTCCACTCGAGCAAGGCTGTGATGGTGTGAAGAGTTGCAGACAAGAGTACAAATACAAGATTGGCAAGGCGAGGGACTCAGAAGTTGAGACGCATGTGTAGCGCATCTTCGCCGTCGGCGTAGTAGCCCTTTTCGACGCCGTGCACCTCGAAGCCGAGCGTATCGCGATAGAGGCCGATGGCGGCGCGGTTGGTCTGTCGCACATGGAGCGAGACAAACTTGGCGCCAAAGACGTCGCGCATGGCCTCCTCTGTGGGGCGTTCAAGCGGACATAATGGTAAAAGTGGTCAGACGGCTGTGAGCGGAAGTTGTGACGGTGGGATTCGACTCACGACTCTGCTTCATGAGCTTGTTTGCGAGGCCGAGACGGCGGTAGGAGCGGAGGACGCTGATGCTGGTGACGTGACCGTGCGGGATGCCGTCGGCGGGCTCCTCCTCCATCTTGCCGAGGATGTATCCGACCACCCTGTGCTTTTCGTCTTCGGCGACGTACGAGAGCTGGGGCCATGTGAGCGCATGGTAGAGGTAGTAGCGGAGCGTGTAGTTTTCGGGCAGGTTGTGCAGGTTGCAGTTCTGCATGCCCAGCAGGTCGTCGATCTGTGAGGCGATAGAGCATTGGCATCAGATTGTCTGAGCGGAGAGCTGCCAACTGGTTGCTGCGTGTGCTTACCGTCGCTTCCCTGATGTTCATGATGCCGGGATGGTGATGGTGGGTGGACAGGCACAACGGCTCGTCGGACAGTCGCACTAGCCGACGGCAGCTTCTTCCAGCTCCCAAGCCAGTCACGTGCGGCGAGAAATCGGAGAGATCTTGTCAAATGTTGGGGATCTCACATTTTTCCAAGTTGGGTGTTGTTGGACATTTTGTTGGAATTTCCGCTTGGACTGGCTGTGCTGTGTGGTGCAGAGGCGGCGCGCCTTTGTGCAGTGGTGCAGTGGTGCAGTGGTGGGTTGGGGCCGACGTCAGACCCCCTGACGTGTGTGTGTTGGAGGTGCGAAATACGACACTCTCTCTCTCCCAGCCAAGACGCGGCGGCGGTCCCGGCGCATCAATCGCACCCATCTTCCACTCAGCACCAGCAGGCGCCCACCACCAACACACACACACTTGACCTTGACTGGCCCCCACCTCATCTCGTCCATCATCCGCCCAGTCGACGCTTGGACCCCCCCACCCCCCGTCCTTCGGGTCTTAAAAGCAGCCGCACCCGCCTCACCCACGCCCATCGCACCACCACAGCATACACGACTTTCTCACCCGTCTACACGCTCCACCCACACACACACGCATGTTTCGCAAGCACGACAAGGACTCCTCCACCACCTCCAAGGGAAGCAAGAAGCAATCCAAACCAAAGCCAGCCATGACCGACGCAGCAAAATCAGGACGCCCCGGCAACCTCGATGCTTCCCAGCAGGAGGCGCTCGACACCTTCTGCACAACCATCCAGCACAAGGGCCTCTTCAACCCGGAGCGCCACGACGATGCCTGCCTCTGCCGCTTCCTCCGCGCACGCAAGTGGGACCAGGCCGCAACCGAGGCCATGTTCACCGAGGCCGAAAAGTGGAGATCCGAATTCAACGTGGAGCAGCTCTACCACAACTTTGAGTATCCCGAAAAGGCCCAGGTAGACCAGTACTACCCGCAATACTACCACAAGACCGACAACGACGGTCGCCCCATCTACATCGAGCAGCTCGGCAAACTCGACCTCAAGGCGCTCTACCAGGTCACCACCCCAGAGCGCCAGATCCAGAAGCTCGTCGTCGAGTACGAAAAGTTCCAGCGCGAGCGTCTCCCCGTCTGCTCGGCTCACCGCGGCGAGCTCGTCGAAACTTCCTGCACCATCATGGACCTCAAGAACGTCGGCATCTCCGCCTTCTGGAAGGTATCCACCTACGTCCAGCAGGCCTCCAACATCGGACAGCACTACTACCCAGAGACCATGGGCAAGTTCTACATCATCAACGCCCCTTACATCTTCACCACCGTATGGTCCGTCATCAAGGGCTGGCTCGACCCCGTCACCGTCGAAAAGATCAAGATCCTCGGTCACAAGTACCAGGACGAACTCCTCCAGCAGATCCCCGCCGAAAACCTCCCCGAGGCGCTCGGCGGAAAGTGCAACTGCCCAGGCGGATGCTCCCTCTCCGACGCCGGTCCCTGGAACACCGAAGAGGGTCGCCAGATCATCGAAAAGGTGCGCGAGGAGGAGAAGCAAAAGAGGGAGCAGCACGAACGCACCGCCTCGGCTGCCGCTCCCGCCGCCGATGCCAACGCTGCGCCTGCTGCGCCCGCCGCTGCGCCCGCCGCTGCGCCCGCCGCACAAAACGGCTCGGCTCCCGCCGCCTGATCCATCACAGCTCCCACCTTGCTTGCTCGTACATACTTTTTCTGTCTCTTTGCGCCCCTCCTTTCGTCGACTGCACATTGGCCTTGAAATAGAGTCGATCACCAAACATCACTCTGCCTGTCTCGCCTGCCTCGCCTGCCTCGCCCAAGTCTTGTCCCTTGCTCCGAGATCAGAGCCATGCTGAATGGGTGAGCATCAAGTCCCGGCCTCGTAAAAAATTTCTTGAGCGATTATAATGCATACACTGAATCAGCGCGATATGCAAGGCTCCATAGCTCAGTTGGTTAGAGCG